ACACTTTGGAAAACCCCAAAACGACATTCATAATAAATAAAAATTTAAACTGCAACTTCAAAAATGTGATTAATGCACTCAAATGCACAAAATGCAAGTCACATATAGGTATCAGCCAACAACTAAACAACAGGGTCTCGCTACACAAAAGCAACATCAAACTACCAGACAACAGAAAACTCTTTGTATCACAACACATCTATAAATGTAACCAGGGTGAATTTAAAATTATGCCAATATATCAGACAGACAATTGTTCTTACCTACAAATACAAGAAAAAAAATCCATGACAAATTTAAACCAGCACTAAATAGATCATAGCCCCACACGCAAAAACACACAACATGCACACATAATGTCCAAATATAGTGGTCAAACGACTCGCATGCGTGCGCACACGTACACACTCACACGCGGTTATCTGTGGAGCACGAATATGTTACGCATATTGACAAAAACAATAGACTGCTCAAGAGGACACAGGCGCACGCTACACAACATAGGAAGCGCGCGTGTGTGTGTTTTTGTGTAGGTGTCTGTATGTGTATGTGTGTGTATATGTATATGTGTATATGTGTATACTAATTTCTAATAATAAGAGAGTATGTATGTATGGAGAGGGAATATACGTATACATACGCATGCTGACAAAAACATTAAAAAAATAAAAATAGATCTAAGAATACACAAGGGTCATTAAAAGATAAGAATACAGATATCTTTCCTCGTCCTTTCTCGGACCAGTCTTGATTGTTTTATTACCCTTTACGCAGAAGTACTTTTTCACTGCCAGTCCAATGAAGACATTTGGGTCACTAACACGCAAAAAGAGAATGTTTAATACTGAGAATGGTTAACATCGAAAAACATAAGAAAAATTAATTCCTTTTAATAATATGTGAAAATACCCACTCTTTGCCTGATGAAGGTCGCGAAACTGGAAACCGGTGTAGAAAATTATGGAAAATAAAACGTAATGTTTATTTTAAGAGCATCCAAATTCCAACCAAAAACGTTTGCGTTTTCTCTCTTCTTTTTAATATATATATATATATATATATATATATATATATATATATGGGGGCGCAAAATTTCAGATATAACTAAAAATATATTTGGGAAAGTGCAATATGAATAAAGATGAAGTTATCTTAGCTAACGCGTTTCGTCATTATGATTTGTTTGATAATGTCCACCAAAGGACAAAGCACATTTTTCCTTTTGTCTGTATTCATATATATATATATATATATATATATATATATATATATATATATAATAGGAACAAAAATATGTGTGCATATTGCATTTTGTAAAAAAAAAAAATGAGTGTTCATATATATTAACAACCGGCAGTATGTCCACACAGAAACTGATAGATAGATAGATAGATAGATAGATAGATAGATAGATAGATAGATAGATAGATAATGAACGGAATGAGATAGATAGATAGATAGATAGATAGATAGATAGATAGATAGATAGATAGATAGATGATAGATAGATAATGAACAGAATGAGATAGATAGATAGATAGATAGATAGATAGATAGATAGATAGATAGATAATGAACAGAATGAGATAGATAGATAGATAGATAGATGAGATGGATAGATAGATATGGATAATGAACGGAATGAGATAGATGATAGATGATAGATAGATAGATAGATAGATAGATAGATAGATATAGATAGATAATGAACAGAATGAGATAGATAGATGGATAGATAGATGGATAGATAGATGGATAGATAGATAATGAACAGAATGAGATAGATAGATGGATAGATAGATGGATAGATGGATAGATAGATGGATAGATAGATAATGAACAGAATGAGATAGATAGATAGATAGGATAGATAGATAGATAGATAGATGGATGGATAATGAACGGAATGAGATAGATGGATGGATGGATAGATAGATAGATAGATAGATAGATAGATAGATATACGAATGGGATGAGATAGATAGAGATACGAATGGAATGAGATAGATAGATAGATAGATAGATAGATAGATGATAGATAGATAGATAGATATTCACCGATGACTTATCCAATGCTGATGGACTGAATCTGTTCAGTTATCATTACCCAGCTAAAACTCCTTTCTTGTGTGCTGGGAGATCTTTTCTCCAATCTAGCGTTTCTTCTGGTTCCAAATCAATCGCTGTTTCTAGGGCCTATCTTTGGTTGTCGTCGATTCTTTAATATCGCCAGTTCAGACATTTACACCTGGGACATTTCCGTAGAGTTGAATCACATTCATTTTCTCCGTACTCCACATGTAAGAATGTTTTATTCATGCAACTTTTTTTCCCAAGATATACGACTTACTCCCCTGAACCCTAAAATCTTGAGGTTTTTAATTCAAGGGTCAATCTTTACCTATCGTCTTTATTCAAATAATCATCACTTCCTGTTTATCTCCTCTTTCCTATTTCCTGTCACACATCATTCAGTATTACCATTTTAACAATAATCTTCTATATGGAATCACCTCCGGACTTTTTATTTGGTGAATTCTAGTATAAATTCTAGTATAAATTCTATAATTCTAGTATAAATTCTAGTATAAATTTTATAATTCTAGTATAAATTCTAGTATAAATTCTATAATTCTAGTATGAATTCTAGTATAAGTTATATACTTTTAGCATGAATTCTAGTATAAATACTATAATTCTAGTATAAATTCTAGTATAAATTATATAATTCTAGTATAAATTATATAATTCTAGTATAATTCTAGTATAAATACTATAATTCTTATATAAATTCTATATATAAATTAAATAATTCTGATATAAATTCTAGTATAAATTCTATAATTCTAGTATAAATTCTAGTATAAATTCTATAATTCTAGAATAAATTCTATTAAAAATTCTATAATTCTAGTATAAAGTATCTATCAAAAAAATACTACTAAAAGATATTACCAAACAAAATTTATAACTTTCCATTTTTTTTTATATGAAACATATGTTATGGCGATATGATAATTATTTTTTTTTCTCTAATTCTAATTCACAATCCACTCGCAAGAAGAAAATAGGAAATAAATGTAATTTTTTTTTAAATTTAAATTTTATCTCGAGCAAGCTATACTTTTCTTTTTTTTTTTGCTGAATCTAAACAGAATTTATGTGATTCTTTTTAACATCAATTTTAACCCGAGAAATGTCAAGAAAGTGTTAGATATTTTTTTTTAATTTAGATTTTTCCATCTTTCTCTATGAACCAAACTTTAGCAAATTTATTTTAGTGATGTTTACTCAGTCAGTTGTGTTCTATGCGTGATACACGCTTAGGCGATCATGTATCTTTCGATAAACTACTGACGACGTAGATTCCCTCCCCCCAGTAGATTACTATTTCTTTCTGCGATAGACCAGTTGCCATCCAAGGCTATAGAACCCGCTCTGCTATTTACCGAAAGAAGAAATTCGACACATTGAAAAGGAGCATAAGATATGCTGGATTTTATTAATACTCGTACACTAACCGGCACTAAAAGGAGAAAATATGCAACTTCTTTATCTATTAAAAAAAAAAGTCATGACCATGTGATTAGAAAAATAAAAGAAAAAGAAATATGAAAGCTTAAACTAAATTAACATTATTCTTTCAAATCAACATACACAGTGAGTTAATTATATGCCATGCGTGATACACGCTTAGGCGATCATGTATCTTTCGATACATGACTGACGTGGCAGATTTTGTCCCGCACGTGTTACATTTTCTTTCTGCGGTAGACCCATATCTGGCGGGAGAAGAGGATCCATACCTTTCCCAAGGGTATTAGCACGTAAGTGAATGTAATGAATTTGACTGGAATTCGAACCCGACTCTCCGGCTCTCCAATCCGAGCCGCTATCCATTACTCGACCGAGAACAGAAGATGTGGGAAAGATATTTACGTACTACCTCATAAAATATTTTGGATGTTTTATGCCTTTTCGTTTAGATAAGAATTTACGAAATTTATACTAAATTAAAAATTGATTATATATGTTGCTTAGCAGCATATAGTCTCTTGTAGATCAAGGTTCAACCTAATGTGAGTGTATATATGTGAATGAGACGAACACCCTATGACATGATGAAGGCAGTTAATTTAAGTGGAGGAAACCTCTGATATGAAACAAAATAAGTTGGTTAGCTCAATAGACATCTAAATTGTCATCTATTAAAAAGAAAAAAAACTTTAACCTGCTCAAAATGGCTAATAATTTAATAGAATACAGCATCTTCCATCGTTGAGGTGCGTCCTGGGTATGACGATAAACTACATCCGCGTCCTGGGTAAGATGATAAACTACGTCCAACAGCAAGACCTCTGATCAGAAGGTTTTGAGGAGCGTGGAACCACCTCTTAATTGCTGGTGTTCCCATGTCCACCCTGACATGTGGTTGTAGCACCTGTTAGGGTCCCAGCTATGGGCAAATAGTTGACCTCACAACCTGACTCAAAACACTATGAAATTGTAAAAATAGATTTTAATAGCAGAAATACTTTGTAAAAAAAAATTAGTATCAGCAATAAATATTTGAAAAAAGAAAATATTACCAGAAATAAAAATCTTGTCAGCATTGAATAACCCAATGAGGTTAATATGCCACAAAACAAACTATACATTTTTGAAAAAAATATTACGAGCTATACATTTCTGAAAAATTACCAGCTATACATTTTGGAAAAAAAAAAAAGGAAATTTTGTCGGCATTAAATAACCCACTGTAGTTGATATGCCGTAAAATAAAACAAACCAAACGAAACCATCGTTGAGGTCGAAAAATCTGCTACTTCCAAGGAAGAGTCAAGTCAATCACCAGACCTAACAACAAGTAAAATATTATTAACTAAATAAAAAATCTAAATTGAAATAATTTTTGAAATGAAAATTAGAAATCAACGTCCAGTCAGAATCAGGTCCATTTCCTTTCAGAACAATATAAAAAATGCAAGCTCTTATGTTGTCTGTATGCAAGGGATGCACCGAATAAGGTGTGACTCCATGGCACATTTGGGATACAACTTGTACTGTACTATAGTGGCCCAAAGAAGAAAAATAAAACATTTTACTGGAACCGCAATGCGCAAATCATCAGATATTTTAATAGACAATATCTTACACCAACCAGAAATATTAATGTTGTTCGTGGCTGTCACATCTGAGTGATATAATCTTATAGCAGAACTGAAAGGAAGTGTTGTTTCAAAAAAATAGAACATATTTAGAGGGTTAACAAAAGAGAGAACTGTACAATAATCGAAATTTTAATGTTACCTCTAGCAATTTTAACACTGCTGTTCCATTGGTTAAAAAAAAACGCCCTTCTTAAATATAAGCGTCAAACAGCAATAAAAAAAAATCTTGTTAATTTTAATTATTCAAAAAGATATTCCATCCTAAACGCATGGTTTGGCCGTCTTATTAAACATTTGCTCACATGGCATAGTCAAGGTAAAATAATCAAATCATTATTGAATTCAGAGTCTTGGCTTCGGAGTCTTGGCTTAGGCAATTTGTGACAGATATTACAATATATAACTCCGACTTTAGGGATCTCCGCTAAATTTTCGATAACTAAGGTTTAAAATTAATTTTCAAAAATGAAGAATTATTTTTGAAACTTTCTTTATAGTTTTATTTGAAAGCTAAATGATTAAATTAACTATTTCCAGTAAGCAAAATATTCTGGTGCATTTCAAATAGAAATTATATTGATTTGAATCTCAACTTTTTGGTCGCTTTCAGAAAATCGATAAAAATCGATGAATATCGACCATCTTGACAAATTTGCAAACAAAAGTTAATTCTCCGTTTTAAAAATCATGCAAAAATAAAATATATATTTGTGACACGTTATTTGAGGAAAATTCGCAAATTTAATGTTAAATTAATCTAATTTGAAATAAAATATTGCATACTTATAGCATAAAACGTAGTATACAAGCATTTCTTAACCACCCGGTCTTGTTTTTCTAATGTATTAATCAATTGATTGGCAGCCTATGGTGTTGAAAAGCTAAGTATGGTTGACCAGAAAGTGACATAAATTTACGAAATGTAAGTGAACGCTTTGTTTTTGGTTTTTAACTATCTTGTATTTGTAAAATTAACATAATATTTTCCGCAATTACCTGATATTTTATTGAATTTTAGTTAATATAATTATTTACAACCGTATCTTCTTAGCAAAATAACTCTCACAAAAAAAGAATAACTTTTTAAAAAGTAAAGGAAAATTACTAACAAAAAATATTTTTATGAAAAAGGAGTTAAAGTAAAAAAAATAATCTGAAAGGAGATTCCAAAATGACACTCAAATTTAAAAAAAGAAGCGCTTCAAATAGAAATTAAATAAGAAAAAATTAATTTAAGTTAAAGTAAAAATTATTTTTTTTTAGTAGAATTACATTGGGTTTCGTCTCCAGGTTACTTAATTTAAGTATGATCCACACTAAAATAGATAAAATAAAAAATATTTAGTGAAATAAGAACTTAAAAAAGTAAAAATTACTTTAAATTTTAAAATTTTGAAGGGATGATTTGCAAAGCGTGTTGAGAGATAAACACCATGGAAGACAGAAATGAAAATGAAAGAATTGCAAACGGACAGATTTTTAGGGAGGTCTACTCATAAAAAAACGTGACGGACAATCTACCATACTTACAAAAATGGGAATGATTCTCCGCTAAAAAAAAATATTTAAATTATTTTAAAAATATTAAGCTTTCCAATTATTGATTCATAAATATAGTTTTCACTTAATAACATTATCATTTACTCAGATTGAATTAATGCGGAATTTTAAACGATTTAAATTATTATAATTAAAATTTGTAAAAAGTGAAAACAATTCTTGCAAAAATTCATTATTCATCGAAAATATTTTTTCTTAGGGCAACAGTGTACTTAATAAATCATATTTATAAAAGTAATTAAAAGTTTTTTCTAATTAAATAATATCATAGTTTTGTTACATATTTATTTTACGATTCAAAATGGATTTTCGATTACTGTGGGCCTTGCTTAACAAAACAAAATGTTGATTTATATTCTCCAAGGAGACCTGCTTTTAACTAATGAAACAAATTTTCACATTGCAATTAAATTTCTCGAAATTTCATGAAATTAAGTAAGTCGGTGTTGTTAGGGGTAACATAGGTAAAAAAAAATTTTTTACCAAGATTTTCTAAAACAAAAATTTCAAAAATAATTTAATTCATTTGTGAACAAGTACTAAAAGTTTCATTAAAATCCGACAATTTTTTGATTTTTGTAAGAATTTTAAATCAGTGTGTTTTTCACCTGAAAAAATGGTGCAAAAACACTAATCGTAAATATTACGTCGACCGCTGACATAAAAAAAAAATTAACCAAGATTTCGAATTAATAAAATAATTAAAAAATACTTTGGTCTTTCCTCTTAATACTAACATAAACCTTTTGACGATAAAACTTTGTTTTCATTAAGTTTGGGGCCTTTTTTTCCTCATGCTATGCTGTTTTTTCAGCAAGCAAGTGCAGGTATCTATTTGAATCTGATCAGAGACGTCATGTAACAATACTGACAACAACTGCCCACGAAAATCGCTCGTTTCCGTTAACATAAATCACATAAATAAAAAACACCCAGGTATAAAATATAACATCGAAGCCTTTAAAAATAAAGTCCACATGAATGTTTAGATCTAACGTGCGTGTTTACAAATGTGAATCGTGAACAGAGTTGAATATTCAGTTTTTATAACAACTTACAGAGTTGGGAAAAAAAATGTACTTCTACTTAAATAGGAAGTTCTTCTGGGAACAGGTGAGTTCTCATCTAAACCGATACTCCATATTTAATGAACGAACAAAGACACAAACAGATAGATAGATTAGATAGATAATGAAGAAAAAGACACAAACAGACCAAAAGATAGATGAATGAATAGATAGATAGATAGAGATAGATAGATAGATAGATAGATAGATAGATAAAAATAAGATAAAGATAGATAGATAGATAGATAGGATAGATAGATAGATAGATAGATGGAATAGATAATGAATAGATAAGGACCAAAATTAGATAGATAGAATAGATAGATAGATAGAAATGAGATAGATGATAGATAGATAGATAGATAGATAGATAAAGACCAAAAAGATAGATAGATAGATAGATAGATAGATAGAGGGAAAGACCAAAGGACCAAAATTAGATAGATAGATAGATAGATAGATGAATGGATAAGGACCAAAAATTAGAAGATAGATAGAATGAAATGATAGATAAAATAGATAGATAGATGGTGAGATGAATGGATAGATAGATAGATAGATGGGGACCAAAGATAGATAGATAGGATAGAAAGATGAGATAGATGATGATGATGAAAATGAGATAGGATAGAAGATGAAAGCCCAAAATGAGATAGATAGATAGATAGATAGATATAGATGATAAA